AAGTGCTGGACAAGTTATACAGTAGTAGACAAAAATTAAAACCAGATAAATTAACACAATTTATGACATAATGACAAACAGCAATAAGATTAGATACCATCGATCAGTTAGATACAAAAATAGATTGAGACACGAGCGCAGGTGCTCCTAAACAGACTCAAACGCCAAAGAATAGAAATGTTCAGGAGGTAGAGCGGGTTGGCCATTAATCGGAAGGTTGGTGGTTCAATCCCTGGCTCCCCCTGGTTGCGTGTCGAAGTGTCCTTGGGCAAGATACTGAACCCCGATTTGCCTCTGGCGGCTGTTCCGCCAGTGTATGAATGTGTGTGAATGCTAGTTTCCGATTGAGCACTTAGGCTCAGTGAATGCAGATGTACTGTAAAAGTGCTTTGAGTGGTCGAAAAGACTAGAAAGGCAAGTATACAAGTACGGAGCATTTACATTTTGAGTCAAAACTTAAGTGTTGATGATCTAATAATCAGCGGTAGATTATTCCTGTCTCGGGGCCACGACTGAAAAGGCATGGTCACCCTTTGTTTTCATACAAGACTATGGGATGGCCAAGAGGGATTGGTTTGATGTCTGAGGGGGATCTGGACGAGTGATGAAACATTAGGAGTTCTGAAATATAAGATGGAGCCAGTCCATGTAACGCCTTAATAGACCATTTGACTAGTAACCAGTGAAGAGCAGCCAATATTGGGGAAGTATGGTCCCTCTTCCTTGTACCAGTTAACAATCTAGCAGCTGCATTTTGAACAAGCTGCAAGTGTGATAAAGATGAGTGACAGATGCCAGAGTACAAGGAATTGCAGTAATCAATTCGAGGATATAGAGCATGCAAGACAGTTTCTAGGTCCTTTACAGAGAGAATAGGTTTGAGTTTAGCTGTGGTCCTTAAATGAAAAAAAAAAAACCTACCTTTAACAGAGTTTATATGTTTGTTGAATTTGAATGCCGAATCAAAGATAATGTCACGTGTAGATAGGCCTACGTGGAAATTAAAAGGGTATTACTAACTTTAAAAAATATATATAATAATGTTGCGAGGGCTCGCCGACAACGCCACCTAGGGAATGAGCCCAAGGACTCAGGTTCTTTAAAAATCGGGGTTGGAGCAGAAACAAACCACAGGAGCCAATATAAATGTTAACAATTAAAAAATGTTTATAATTTTAAAAACAGCCTAACTAAAACCCATGTGATGCCACAGCTAAAAGAAAAATGTTCTGTGATTTCACAGCTCCCAGCACAGGTAGATAGTCCCTCTGGGGAATCCTCCGTCCCACGGCCCGGCAGCTTCACGGGGTCGCTCCGCCTGCTCCGCAGTCCTCAACGCTCGTCGGTTTCCTATAACAGAGAAAGCGCTGGCGAGTAGTGTGCTCACGTCAGTAAACCCGCACCCCATGCCTCACGACCCTGACTCTGCAGCCCTCCCCTGCCTGGTCCTCTGTGCCGCCTAGCTTACGGTCTATGCTTAAGATACGTAAACTGTTACTCACGGTTTCCCCAGGCAACAGTCGTACTGTTGGAAGCGCGTTGGCGGACACAGGTCAGCCACTCGCGTTGCTGCTGGTTCTGCCCGGATCAGCCCGGCTTCTCCCTGCAGGCCTCGACAGTGACTGCTCTCACAGTCGCCCACTGCTGCGTCGTCTCGGCTGGCGCGCCGGTTTCGTCCAATCAATTACTTCCCCACAGGTCTCTCATAGCTGCCGCCCCCCTGCTCGATGCCCCCCTGCTCGATGCCCCCCTGCTCAGCGCCCAACGAGCTGGCCGACTTTCCCTGCTGCTCTCTTCACTCTTCTCTCCGTCGAACCTCCATCTCCTCCACCTGCTTCCCAACAGTCACGCTCCTTACCGGCCTACATCCGTGTCGTCGCGTTCCTCGCTCCCTCGTTGCTTCACTTAATAAGTAGTCCTGTCCAATCTGTTGCCGGCTTCCACACCTGTTGCTCATTTGCTCATTATGTCATCAGTGGAGGTGTGTGGTTTAAGATCAGTTCAGCCAGTAAGTAAAACTTAAAAAAACACACATGCATTAAAACACAAATAACACTAAAAAAGGTAAAAAGGCACAGCACACAAATTAAAACACATCACATCAGAAGCATAAAAAGTCACCTGCCATTTTCTGGCCCTGTCACATACATTAATGGACAGGGGGGGCATATTTTTTGATAATTCCTCAATTGAGTTAGGGGAACCAAATAATATTACTTCTGTCTTGTTTTCATTTAGTTGGAGAAAGTTTATTGCCATCCAACACTTAATATCATTTAGACAGTTGGAAATGGACTGTAAGTACTTTGAGTCACCTGGCTTCAGAGGTAAGTACAGCTGTGTATCATCAGCATAGCAGTGGTATAATATATCATGTTTACGGAGAATGGAGCCCAAGGGGAGCATATAGAAAAGAAAATGAGATTGGCCCCAGGATTGAACCTTCATTTCAATTTCAAACTCACTTAGTACCTTAAGCAGTGCAGTTTCTGTGCTGTGATGTACCCTGAAACCTGACTGAAAGTTATCCAGCACATTGTTTTCAGCTAAAAACGAGGAGAGTCGAGAAAGAACTACCTTCGGCAATATTTTGGACATAAAAGATAATTTAGAAATGGGCCTAAAATTATTCAAATCCATAGGGTCAAGATTGGGTTTTTTAATAAGAGGCTGAACCACAGCATGTTTAAAAGTGTAAGGAACAATTCCATTTAAAAGAAAGCTATTTATAACAGACAAAAGGCTAGGACCAAGAACATCTAAAACCTCTTTCAAAAGACGCGAGGGGACAGTGTCCATAGGGGCAAAGGTAGGATTCATGATTTAAGCTATATCGATCAGTTCTGACGAGGCCACAGGCTCAAAACAACTTAGAGAGACATGGGCATAGGACTAGCTCAGATGGGTCAAGATCGGAAGGGGAGATACCAGAACTAATGACGTCAACCTTATCAATGAAGAACCTCAAGAACTTCTCTGTAATTTCAGAGGTAGCATCAGGGAGTGCAGTAGCATGGTTTAGTGTAGTGTTATTACACTGAACAAGGTCTTAGGGCTGTGTGCATTTCTAGCAATGATATCAGAGAGATACTTTACTTTTGAGACTTTGACCAGGCATTGGTAAGATGTTAGGCAGTTTCTCAATATTTCGTAGGACACTTGCAGTTTATTCTTTGTCCAGTTCCTCTCGGCCTTCCTGCATTCCTGTCTAAGGGCACGGGTCTCACTATTAAGCCAAGGCTGAGCTTTGGATCTCTTGAGCGGGGCAATGGTGTCAAGGATGTCTGTGACAGTGGAATTAAACAGATTGACTAGTGCCTCTGTGTCCATGGAGGCGGACACTGTCTCTGTAAGTTTAGCAAAAGGCGAAGCTATAAAGGCATCAGAGAATTGCCTAGCTGTGGAGTAATTACGTGCCCGAACACAGCGATCTGGCATTTGAGGTTTTGGTAATGGACATGAGAGTACAGCAGTGAAGATGACAGGTTTTTGATCAGATAAAATAGTATCATCCAGCTCAACATTTAAAACCTAATGATAAAACCAGATCAAGTGTGTATCCATATTCATGTGTAGGACCAGTAACCCACTGAGAGAGATTAAATGTGTCCACAAGTTGCAGAAACTTGGTAACCAAGGGCGACAGACATGAATGTTAAAATCACTAAGGATTAAAATGTTGTCAAAGTTGGGCACAAACAATGATAGAAAGCTAGAAAATTCGTGAATAAAGTGTACTTTGGTGGTTTATACACAAGTGCACAAAGTAATGGGCAGGCCAGTTCAACTTTAATTACTTGCACCTCAAAGCTAGTGTAGTTGTCAATCGACAGAAGTCTGCATGTAAAGCGATTCTTAAAGACAGTCGCCAAGCCTCCACCCTTACTTGTTGTTCAGGTAGAACTAAACCAGCTGAACAAATAAAAGCGATCATCTTGAGAGAGGATACAGCCACGCAGAAACTGAAGCGACCTGTTGCGTTTGCATATTGATGTGTCACTGTCTGCACCTTGTTGAGTTTTAACACAAACTGTAGATGTGACATTTTTGTGATGCGCCAACACTATTCCTGCAAATCAAACAACATTTCTGCCACTGAGGAAATAAATTCCTGATGAGTGAAAATAAATGAAAAGGTGCAGCGTGCAGGATTTGATGGCATCCACCTGAATACTGCTCACCTGAGAGATAGACAGGCTGCACACACATGGGATTTACTCCTAGATAGTATATTACTGGACGAAGCCACCCCACAGATTTGAATGGAGAGGAGTGAAGCCAGTTTTGGACCAATAAAATACTTCTACGGGGCTACTTCCTGTTGGCACCAGTGTCTACTGCGCATGGTCGCGCAGCATAACCGTAGTTTAATGATGTAAGGCAACAGCAGAATCATTGTAATTCATGTAGCTGCACCAACAAAACATTTCATGGCTCAGAGTGTTTGTCTGACTCGGAGCGTTACTGTTTAATCAGCCCACCTACAAGGCTCACCGGCCAAACACCAACGCCGCGTCACTGATGGCCGAACACTTTTTTTAGATTCACTGAGAGTTTACAATCTAAGCAATATGGTTACATCGCTCATGTGCGACAGGATGCCACAGGGTTTTGACGTCATTTTTGGACGTCCATGAATGTCCATGCAGGCTTTGGTCAGCTTCACTGTTTCAACTGTGGCTTACCCCCTTGCCCAGACAACTACAAAGTAAAACAGGAAACATGAAGCACAAAACCCCAACACCTCAACACCTGCTCGGAGCAGTTTAGGGATGCAGCTAAATGACAGTAGACCTCGGGTAAAACCATCTTTCGTACAGGCCACTGATGGGAGTTAAGAGATAAATTAAGAGTATGTCAGCTCTTGTTAATTCAGAGCTGGAGATTCTTCAAATGACAGTTCTTGTTCTGTGAAAAACTGTCAATAAATTGCTCTCAGAACACTTTACATAGATTTGTCATATCCTCCTCCTCCTCAACCAGGGGTATATTCTGACTGTAGAGGATAACAGCCATCATTATTTTTCAACTGCAGACAATCAGGTGACACAGGCTGCTTTCTATAAGGCCTTTGTTGATGATCTTTGTTGGTGTCAATGTCTGAGTTGGAGGGAAATGTGTTATTATCAGGCACCGAAACCAAATCACAAACACTGAATGATATCAAATATCTTTCTTTAGGATCTAAAAACAAACAGGTGGGCGGAATGGCGTCTGCTGAGACGGAGACTTGATTTGTGAGACAGAGATTGGACCTGTGTCCTCTCAAGAAAGAAAACACAGCATCTTGTGATGCCCACTCTGCAGCGTGAACACACACACGGCGGCGTCCCTCTCTCCTCTCCTTCGATTTCTCCTGCAGTCCAAACCACACAGCTGGAACATCTCCAGTCTGTTCTGTGACTCGCTCCATCTACTATTGATTTTACCTTGACAGCCTACTCCATCTTAATGCCCTCCACAATGTTGATGGGCTCCTTCACAATGGCTTCTGGATTGCCCACTGCAAAATCTTCAATGTTCACGCCCCCCTGCGAGCTGCCAATCAGCACGGGGACCTGCGGGACAAGAGGGTGAACAGTTAAACACTATTTCAGTTAGAAGATCTGTAAACGTTTCATTTCTTAATTTGAGCCGACGCACATGTTGCCCGTTCGACTCTTAAGAATAATTTCCATCCACATAACTATGAAAGCAGATTTAAAGAGAGTTAGCCTGACCCCACAAAAAGTGTTGTCTTACATCAAATTTAACTGATTTTTGTGGTTTATTTAAAAATTACTTTCTGTAAAATGCCAAAATATAAAAAAAGAAGAAAGTGACGATCACAGTTTCCTAAAACTCAAGAAAATGTCTTCAAATGCCTAAAACCCAAATTTAGTGTGAATGAAACAAAGAATAACAGCAAATGCTTAAATTTGCTTAAAGTGACTCAAGCAACAAATCAATTGTCAGAATAGCTGCCAAAATGGTTAGACTGGCTTGAAATCGTCAAAGAGATCCATGCAAGATTGAGAAAAGATGGAGAAGATATTGGATTGGGGATTTTTCTTTTCCCCCTTCATCCATACTGTCAAAATGTAATTTGCTTCCTTTAGCTGTACACTCTACCAAACATGGAAACTTAAACTCAACGCATGTAATACTGTATAAAGCCCCTGCATGACCAATTCTGAATATGGTGTTTTGAGATATGAATGTTATGGATCTTACAATGCTTTCCTGCAACAATGTTTTGATGTACTGTGCATTAAAACTGTGATTATATAAATACATTAAATACATTTTCTGTCAGTCGACTACTTAATTAAAAATATATATTTCAAGACTTTATCAGCCTTTGTAGGAACGGTCTGTCTGTCTGTCTGTCTGTCAGGAAGTGTTCAGTGGCTTTTTACAGCTTCATCTCTGAGAGCGCTGAGAGGGAAACAGAACAGCTGGACAGATGAACCAGTATTAACCCCAAGAAATTGAAAAGGAAACTAAACCAGTCCCTTTCTGGCTAAAAAAATCTGGGGCCACATTCTCACAGTATTTCCTCCACTAGGACTTTTTGTTGTACATACTAACTAGTTACAGAAAGAGCTAGTCAGCTCATCTTCTTAGGGCTGGTAGAGTTTCCCCCAAGAAGTTTCCCCTGAGAACATCATCTCCATCTTTAGTCCTGTGCTTCCATCTAGTGGGGTAATTCAGCACAACCAGCTCAAATCTGAGCATAATGACTTGTTTGTAAATGACTTGTGTGCATTCAGTTGGTGAGCGCCAGACACCTACTTCTAGTATATTTTTGTCCATAAACAGAGCAGTTTGAGAAACAACCGCAATTCACACTGGTTTGCAGAAAAGCTACTTTCTTATCCTACTTCCTGTTGTTTTCACTTTCAACAATGTCCACAACCATCACAAACAGAAAACACAAGCAGCTCCAGATGTAGGCTGCCGTCCATCCAGCTTTGGTCCTTCCAGCTAAATGTGCGTGTTCCATGGTGATGGTGAAGTAGTACTGCATGGGTACCTGCGCTCCAGTCATCTGGGATAAAATGTCTGACCTGGAGAGGAAGAGGAGACGTCATGTTTACTGCCTCCCCATGGTAT